GGGCCAGCAGGATGAAGTTATGAAAAAAAAAAGAAATATGAAGAAACCAAAAAAAAAAACCTAACTACAAAGAAAAACGGGGAGAAACAACTCGAGCAATTAAATTACATAATCAGCCCACCGCCATGCGGGATTTTTGGCCCCACGTGGCTTCCTGTGCGACAGCGGGGACCACTGACCGCTTCAGGAATGAAGGGGGCTCAGTGTGTGTCTGCGCGGGGCCAAGTTTGGAGTGGAACTGCGTCCAGCTGCTGAGGGACAGAACATCTGTAGGATGCCGTCATGGCAGGTCATAGAAAAAGAGACAAGAGAAACCAGTGGTGGAGAAAGTACTCATACAATGTACTTAAGTAAAAGTACAAATACACAGACAAAAATTTACTCAAGTAAAAGTCAAAGTACCACATTATTATTTTACTTAAGTAAAAGTAAGAAAGTACAAGCTTTTAAAACTACTTAAGTATTAAAAGTAAAAGTACTTGCCAACCATAATACCTAACGGCTTATATAATGTCATTAAGTGTACCTATCGTATTTAGTTTGAATAAATCAGTAATGTACCATTTTAATGAGCAATGCTGCAGATAAAGCATGTTTTTATTGTGTCTACCCCCTGTGACAGTTTAGATTTAGATATTTTATGCAGGTCCTGCATACTGTGCTGCTCTTCTTGAGGGAGGGCCTAATGGTTATTTCCCGCTTTGGATTGGTTCAGCGGACTGATTCTGCTCTCGCCATTGGATACTTTCAAACTAACGAACAAATCAAAAAACCGAAATGCGTCTTGGATGTAACGAGTAACGAAACGCTGTATAGAAATGTAGTGAAGTAGAAAGTACAGATACTTACTGTTAAATGTAGTGGAGTAAAAGTAGAAAGTATCCATTATTAAATCTACTGAAGTAAAGTACAGATACTCGTAAATTGTACTTAAGTACAGTAACAAAGTACTTCGTTACTTCCCACCACTGCGAGAAACAAATAGACTGGGACAGAAAGAGACTTTTCTAATTGGATGCTGATTGTTGAATCAACAATTGCTTGTTGAATTAAAAAATCTCTTATATAGTTAGCCTTTATGTTGATCTAAAGTGGACCATTTTGGGCAAAACTGAATGAGCTTGAGGAGTCGGTGGTAAAATATCTTATCAAGTTATGAGGCGTTCATTATGAATTGATATTACGTGATTTTTTTCTCAAAAAGAAATACCTACTACAAACTCTGATTACCCCCAGTTTTTGCTGATCGTTATGCTTTCAATTTACATTTCGAGGATGCCATTTAGAGCAGGTTTATGGGAGTGGTGAAAAAAGGATGTGATTAATTGTGCTTATATGGGGAAAAATGTGTAGATGATTATCCCTGTCTAAGGATGTTTGTTGTATATAATTGAAATTGGAGATAACTTTGACTAAATTAAACTAATCCTTTGTAGATGTAAAGTGAAATTCTCTCTTTTTTCTACCTCCGAGAGTTTTCTGTTTCCAATAAAGAAACTTCTTTTACTGAAAAGTGTCACCATAAAACCTATACCACCACCCTATTATTCCGTATTATTTTACCCGTTCAGTTTTATTTCATCAAGTTCTAAATGGAATGTCTCTGCATGCAAAGGCCGAAAATATACTCAGCTACTCTCTCATGTGTTATTCTCAAAATCTAGAAAATAATTTTATCAGAAACATTTATTTTCATATTGGATTGGTACAGATATATAATCATAGGAAACCTGGGCATGAATCGGATAATGAAAAGTTTGATTCATTTAACATACTGGTGGGTAAAAGCAACCGTTGCATATTGTGTTTGTGTATTGGTCAGAGTTTGTGTGTGTCATCTATCCGATCATTTAGAGGCCGTTAGGGCGCCGTGTGTTTGTTGTGTTCCATTTCCTAAACTACTCACAGATAACAGTTGATGAGACCGTCAATAAATCATCAGGCAGACATTTTTCTCATAGCTGTTAAACTGTGGCCATGTGAGGACACTTGGAATGAATTTCTGGTGATCGTGACTAAAAAAAAAGAAAAAATTAAACCCGTTTTTAAAAGGAAATAGAATAAATTGCAAAGAAAATGCTGCAGAAATTTTCCATCTAGCTAGTATATTAAATCACTAAATGTGTGATTTTTGTCCTCATATTAATACATTTTTTTCACCCTTTCTCCACAAATTGTATTTTTTTTCCTAATAATTAAAAGAAATTCTTACAAAAGCCAACTCAGATCATGTTCACACCTTTTTCTTATATAACTTATGATAGGATGACATAATCACAAGTGGGTAAATGGGTTAGGGCTTATTGCACAGAGCCCATTCTTAACATATTCAGAGAAGAACTGAGACACTTTAGGTTTTCGTTCTTTATTGGTCTGAATGCAGTCCATCTTAAATGTTTTATTTTTCTACCGTTGAACTTCTCTAGTTCTCTCACATCCCAAAACATTATGTCTCAAACATAGTTAAAGTCACAGAACATATTCCTGCTTCATCACCAACATCTGGTATGATTAATAATGTGCTTTTTTTGTTGCTTTCTTCAGATGACTGTAGAGTAATTTACAAACCTTAATCTATTATCTACAGTATATTGATTTTTCTAAAATGTTTCCTTCAGGATGGTAGAAATAAGAGGAATATCTCAGTACTGTGTAAAAATGTGATCAGAGCTTCCTCTGTTTTGGCCCAAAAGATATTAATGGTTACATTGTATTGACGGGTGTGAAAACCTGTTCTTAATCATCCAGGATAGAAACTATCTAGTCTTTGTTCAGACCGATGAATTAAGACCAATCACTACTGATCAGAGACGAACAGAAATGCTTTTATCTGAGTGACCGTTTGTGAATCCTTGTCTCCTTATCTCATGTCCTACTTTGGTTCTCTTCAGCGTGAGCAGGGTAACGCTTCCCCAAACGTCCCTATTTAATCCCATCATCAGGGAGACTCCTCGTGTTATCTGAATATATTGATTTATTTTAAGTAGTGGTGAGATTAGAAGTATAGAATACCACGAGTCCTCTTTGACATGGAGGTCAGAGTTCTGGCTAGTTTTTTGTTTGTTGGTTGGATGACCCTGTTAGGGTTGGATTTTTTAAAATCCAGCATTGATTAGCACATCAGTCCTAAAAAGTCAGACAAAAAAAACACTGTGGACTTTAACTTTTTTCCTAAATAGTAACGATCGTGCATTAATGTAACATAATTTAGAAGGACAATGTTTCCAAAGATGTCCTGTGGGCTTGAATATGAAACAAAGCAGTTTTGACAAAATGTCAAAGAAGAAAACTTTGTGTTACTCAGCCCAAACTGGCCAGTACCGATTCAATGACCATCAACTATACAGGGGAAGATATTGTTTTAAAGAAATAGTATCAAAGAATACTTTGAATTTTTTAACTCACAACTGTTGTACATAAACACTGAATTTAAATTTTTTCAGAATTCTTGCTCAACTTTTGCAACCAAATGTGATTAAAATTGATCGATTGATTGTAACACCAACACAACTAGTTGGGAAAACATTTTGATAATTAATTTTCTTACTCACAAGTCCGCTATTTCAGTGCTGTATACTTTATATTTTTTTCATGATTTTACCATTTGCTGTCGCTGTGTGAATAGATAATAAACCAACAAAAAAAAGAATAAGATAAAAAAGAATGGATACCTAATTACGTTTAATTTGTTGTTGAAAAGGGTAATACTTTACCATTACTATAAAACAATACACATGTGTGTAAGAGTTATTTCACTTTGTAAAACTAATTAATTGCTTTGGCATTTCATGGATTCCTGCTATGTCCATAGTTCGAACAGGTCTGGACACGCTTCCCACTGGAGCCCTTTGGCTAATTCTCCCCATGCGGGGTCGATTAATGTGAGATTAACCGACCTGTTGCTGGCAAGATGTTATACTGAATGTTCTCCTTACGTAAAAGTGCTCGGGGCTCACGCAGCATGTGACACTGGCGGGAACTGCTTATATTTAACACTAACCGGGCAGGCGACAAACAATAGAGCAGTCATTCTGAAAACCCTTGTTGAAAACCTGAGCGTACAGTAAGTACTGTACACAGAGTATGTGTACAGTAATTGGTCCGATACTTGTTTGCTTTAGTGAGACTGAATTTGTCCTGGAGAAAAAAAAAAAGAAGAAAAAAGTTGCGATTTAAGGGGCGATATTTTCGTGCAACGTGAGTGTTTGCTCCAATAGGTTAATGGAAGTCTGGGTAATTTTCATGAGGTCTTAACAAGTGTCACGAGATTCGTCTTTAGTTTTTAGGCCCGGGGTGCCTGTCACTAAGCCTGGTGATTTTGCAAGAGAGTGGCATGAGAGGTTGGTATGTTATGATTACATAATTATTACCAGATTAACCCTATAATGCCAAATGCATCATATTTGATACACACGGTTTCTGAAATGTTTTGCGTCTGACACCTTTTGCATCATATAATGGTAAAAACTTTGCTCAAAATCCTATTGTACACAATCAGATACACCGGATAACAGGCAGAAGACATTTTCACATTTTGTTAAAAGGCCAAATAAGGAATTCAACCAAAAAAAAAGTAATTTTCTGTTTTGTTTTATTCTTGGATCAGGCTTTAAAGGGTTAATGTGCTGGTTAATTGCACGACAGGTATTAAAAGCCAATAAAACACCAACTGATCGGGACCTTTTATCAAATTGCCATCCGAAAGGATTAGAAATGATTTTTTAAGGGTTGGAATTTAGTTTTGGATTTATAGTTAGAGCTAGTTTAGGTTAGGGTTAGGCATTTATGTACTGATCAGACTTCAGTGGTTAGAGAATGTGTTAAACAACTTGTTATACATTAAAAATAAGTGGAAGCCATAGCCTCTACAACCTCTACAAACAGTATAGACCATACCTCCATGTGTGGAATAGAACCGAACCGTAAGAAAAACGTTTCTGCTTCTAGTTTGTAAGGCTTTCCTGCGTGCGGAGCTGTGAGATGTGTGTTTTGTGCTTTTGCAGGAGGCGTGCTGCGCGTACGTGTTGATGGTAACAGCGGTCTACTGGGTGTCCGAGGCCGTCCCATTGGGCGCCGCTGCCCTGGTCCCAGCCTTCCTGTACCCACTCTTTGGAGTGCTCAAGTCAAGTGAGGTGAGTCTCTGCGCCTGTCTGCACAGCTGACTCTCTGTTTTTGGAGTTTCAGTTCCCCTCCCGCCGAGCGGGCGAATTGAATTATCAGAGCTAACAAAATTAAAGCCGTTTTTTTTTTAAAGTTTTCTGCTTTTTCTGCAAGTCGGCTTCATCATTTGGTGTCAAATTCATTAGCATTGTATCATCAGTATTAGTATCATACTGGTGAGTGGACATTTGCCATCTTTATCTATACTATATCTAATAGCAACCAACAAACATTCCCGGGGTGTCTTTAAGGAAGAACATTAATATCCATTGCACTTAAAATCTGTATTAATCATCTTAATCATCTGTAGAAATGATTGTCAAAGTTTTTGTCAAAGTTATTTTTTTACAGTATATTAAGTATAACTGAGTTCTGGTAAGACTTTTAATTTGAAATCTATACAGGTTTTCTGTTATTTTATGATGTTTTTGCTATTCATTTGTGTAAATGGAAGCAACCGTGAGTGTTTCATCAAGCATTACTCTGTGGAAGGTACAACAGAGGAAAAGATTTCCTGTTTAACTTTTCTCATCCTCAGCTCAATTATTAACATTGCGTAAACTGTAATCTCTGTGCCTCATGTGACCAAACAGTGTTAGACGAACTGTGAGGAATCTGCCTGTTAACACCTCCGTAAGCTGTTTGTGATGGCGGGCCATAAATACTCCAGCAGAGAGATTTATGCAACCTTTTCAGAGTGTTATGGTACTCTAAGTTTCAACTGTACCCATTAATCAGGAGTCCCATTTAAAGTTTTCCATTCAGTACTCAATTAATTTAAAAAAAAAAAAGATTTTTTTTTTGTCTTCAGTTACTTAAGAAGGCAGTTTGAGAACTTTTATCCCAGCCAGATCTACCAAAACTCAGTTTTTTAAAAACTTTTCTCACTTACGAAGCTAATTACTATTTGCAACAGAATTTGTTCACAACAATTCACTTTAATATTTGCATAGAAGCAGGATATAAGGTCAGAATCATTTAGATTGGTCAGTACTGTGTGTCCAACTGTTTTAACAGACAGAATTGCTAACCAACAGTCATGGTCAAGGTCCAAGTCAGCTTGGGCTGGTGAAATTTCTGTGTTGGTCATTTTCTTTTTGTTGCTTTTAGTGTTTACTTGTAGTTGGAACATCGTTCTTGGAACTCAGACATTCTGGCTTCTGAGTTCAAATTGAATGCATCATTAGCTCTTAAACGAGTATCCGAATTTTGATGCAAATGTGCAAGAAACTGTGAAGAATGGTCTCCGTAGTTTCTATTTACAGAATGCAAAAGCTCTGTACAGGTTTACATTTAAACTTAAGGTTAATGCCTCATTGCTATGATTTGTTTCCATTAGTGCTTTGAATTGAAATGTTTCAGTCCTGACAATTTTTTTGACAGTCTACAGCACCTTCAGAGAATTGAATTCACATTGTAATCCAGCTCTTGAGTCTTGGAAATATTAATTCAACTTTAATTTAAATTTGAACAAGGACTTGCTTTTCATCTTATGTAGTTTGTGAGTTTCTCCTGGTGTTACTTCTAATAGATCATATAAATAACTGAAAGTTTTCTGGTTCGCTAGTACAGCAGCGCAGCTTGAGAACTTTTTTTTTTTTTTAGGTGAGAGGTGAGATGATGTCGGCTTACACAATATTGCTGGAAATGAACCCTGTGGGTGGGAAGTGGAGCAGATTAGGAAGAACAAACAGCAAACTGTAGGAACTCATAAAAACGAGGGGCGGTGAGAGGCGGGCAGGAGGAAAAGAAGAAAGCCCTCCACAGGACTGTTCTCCACAAATTTAATCGAGTTCATCAGGATGAAAAGATACATAAATACCTTAATCAATTTAGCAAAACACTTTAAAAGATTAGAAATGGTGTTGGCCTTATCCTCCTGAGACCCGAGCTTTTGTTTGGTGTGGAGTTTAGCTATTCTAAAGACATCTGGGATTAGTAGGACCTGATAAGTTTAATAATTATTAATTAAATAACTACACTTAGTCATGGTACAGGTAGTCTTTCTTCTTATGGGCTCAGTGGGTTTATCTTCATATTTAAAACGTTAGTTTATATATTTGATTAAATGTTTTTGCAGTTGGGTTCTGACTGTTCAAATGACTTATTTACAACATTTTGATTACACAATAAGAACATGATTGGTTGAAAATGTATAAAACCATTTCAGAATCAAAATCAGAATCAGAAATACTTTAATAATCCCAGAGGGAAATTATTTTTGCTACTTGCTCCATAAATAAAACAACGGCAAATACATACAGTGGGGGAAATAAGTATTTGACCCCTTGCTGATTTTGCAGGTTTGCCCACTTAAAAAGAATGCTTATTTTTCCTCATCAGATGGTTATCAATTTTTATAAATTCATATGATGTGATTTTCTGGAATTTTCTTTGGGATTCTGTCTTTCACTGTTAGAATGTACATATGATTAAAGTTATAGATCGTTGCATTCTTTGTAAATGGGCAAACCTGCAAAATCAGCAAGGGGTCAAATACTTATTTCCCCCACTGTATATACATGTCTATACATATATATATATATATATACAAAAATCCACATAGAATATAGATACAAATTTACTTTAGATTTCAAACAGTAGTCTCTGATATGTAAGGTAGAGAGGTCAAAGGTCAAAGAAAAAGAAGGTATCATGGTTAAGAGAGGAAAAAAATACTATGCAATATCCTCTTATGAGGTTTCAGAGTCTCAGGAGGTTGATATTGGAGTGAATTTCCCCCGTGTGTGTGCATTCAGGTGGCATCAGAGTACTGTAAGGACACCACCCTGCTGCTGATGGGAGTCATATGTCTGGCCGCCTCCATAGAGAAGTGGAACCTGCACAAACGCATCGCCCTGCGCATGGTGATGATCGCGGGGGCCAAGCCTGGCATGTGAGCGCATTACACACACACATGTTACACACACACACACAGGTAACCACTTTGCTCTTTAGCAAATAAAACAAAAAAACATCCAAACGCAGTTTAACATGATGTCAGTAGACTCTTATCTCCAGGTCTGCCCGTACAGGCTCTTGGTCAGCCTACTTTTTGCATGACATTATAGTGCATTAGGACTCTTTTTCTTTATTTTGTGGGGAGGCTAGCTATTATCATCTTGCAGGTCGAGACCTTTAAATGATTCAATGAAGTCTGCATTTACAGTTTTGAGTGATAATGTGTGAAATAAATGCTTGAGTTAAAAAATAAATAAATAAAGAAAACATCCAAACACGAGTCTGTCTGTCTGTCTGTCGGTCTTCCTCCTCCAGGCTGGTGCTGGGTTTCATGTGCTGCACCGTGTTTCTGTCCATGTGGCTCAGCAACACGTCCACCACGGCCATGGTGATGCCCATCGCCGAGGCCGTCCTCCAGCAGCTCATCTGCACCGGCCTGGCCGACAGCCACGACGACTCGGAAACGGTGGAGGCCTCGGAGGGGGACAGCGGTGCGTCCCGGAAACATCACCGAACTGTTAAACCAAAAACTTTCACGCTATCGCTATTGTGCTAAAAACACGACTAGAAAAATTCTCATCCGTTTGTCTCACTACTTTGTGCACATATTAAAGCAGCAAATATGAAAACGTTTGAAATCTATTTCCCCACTTTGCTAAAATGACTGTTACTCCCTGCAGCTGCTTCCAGCAAACAGGTGGAGAACCTGGAAAAAGACCAGTTAGAGCTGTTCTACCGAAATGAGAGGTACGTTTGTGGATTGTTGCATTGATTTTTATTCATGCTATTGGTGTTTGCAAATGGTGATTCTAAAAGAAATGCATCAAATTCTTCCTCCTAATTTTCTTGTGTAAGCTGTGCATGGATGTCAATTCCATATTTATGTTCTTTTACTATGTTACTTAAGTTTTACGACCTTTGTTGTCATTAATAAAACAGGATATTTACTCTACTTTTATTTCTAAATAGCTAAAAAAAAAAGTTAAATCAATGTGAGCTCCTCCTGTTTACTTATACATTTCCTAAACTTCCAGAGTTTTACATTGTTCTCATAAAACTATTCAACTTACAAGGGTTTTTAAAACATTTTTTTATTGATGAACTATAGAAATTGTAATATTACAGCTTTTGGGCTTTACATTGAATTTAGTTTGAACATTTTTTCAGTGTTATTGTCTTTTACGAAGGACCAGCTCACATTGGACTGAGAGAATATGAGAGAAATCTAGGATTGAATGCCTGCGATGGAACAATTAAAATGTTTTAATTAGTGTTGGCTTGCATAACCCTTTATTTCAGAGACGACATTGAATGTTAAGCAAGTTTCTCTGCTGATTCCGGATTGTGCATATAGAAAAACCCAGGTGGTCTTTTGTGAATTCAGCATATAAGAATGAGCCTTTTTTTACCCCCAAAGTAGCTTGGATTCAGGCACATGTTTTCTGCTTGTGTATTTGTGGCTTGATCTTTGGAAAATACACAGCTAAATCAGCAGGATGTCTTGTATGAACAAAGTTTTCTAAGGATACCAGAGTCCTCCTTTTTAAATCACTCTTTTTGCATTTAGAAAAATTCCATTCGCATTAAGAATTGTATAGCTTAATAAGCCTTTGGTGGATCCTCCTTTTCTTCCCTCTTGACTTTACTGTCTACAAACTATCTGCTTGTTGTAGAATAATCCTGGTTGGCTGTATATTCTCTAAAGTATTTGTCTTTTTTTGCCTTCCTCACAACGTTTTTTGAATTCTTGTTGGAATCAAATTCAAGATATGATTGAATTCATAAATGCAATCACCTAAGCCAGTGCAGACAACAGTGAGCATACACAGATGTGTTTTTTTCTTCTCTGATTTTTTCTTCTCTGCCCATATTTCCTGGAGATTTAATAGTCACAATGTTGCATTGTTTGATCTGAGAGAATGATCACATTCAAGAAGCCATCTTGCAAAGTGCCATAATACTAAAATAATTGGTCAATATCTTAGAATTTCAGAATTCTTTCTTTGCTAGAGCTGAATTTATGTTTACATCAGTCTTACTTGAATGACTTGTTTACTGTATCCTGCTCTGCTTTTTACCAAAAGGATTTTTCTTTTTAAAGCCCATAAAGATCCACACGATTTCGAAATGATATAAATGAACATTGAGCATCACAAAAAATGCCTGTAGTGGACATTCATTTAGGCTGTTTGGTTCTTATTATTCCATTTTCTTCTTTTCCAAGGAATGAAATGAATAAACAGGAACTTCATACACTCAATGAGGTAAGATATGTCAAGTTCTTCCTTGTTTGGAGTATTTTTATTTCTAAAAATGAAATAAAAACAACATGTATATAATATGCATGTATATAATATATCACCTTTTTTTTGTTAATCCATATTTTCGGTTGATCTCGCGGACAGGCCGGAGGGGCAAACGGCTTGGGACTACAGCCAGTTTTGAACAAAACATTTGTAAAACAGACAAACGGACACCTGCCACAGGTTAGTGACGTCATTTTGAAGTATACCATGGCGAGTGGGAGATGCTTAAGAAGCTAAACGTGCAACTAAAATAACAATATTTGCTTCCCTTTCTTGTCGATTCAAGCAGCGTCATCCATTTACTTATATATATATATATTCTCATGTATCATCCTGGAAAGAAATGCAAAATTTATGACAAAGACTTATAACTTCGTTGTGGGGAAATGAATTAAATGCACACCAAATTTCAATAATGTTCGATAAAAAATGATCCTTCTGTCACGGTTTGGGAGATTTTTTCATTGTGTGCTTTCATTTTGCCAACACGGTATCTGTATTCCTAAATAATAAAAAGAGGTGCTTGCTAATTTTCCAAGATAATATAGCAGCAGACACGATTTTTCTTACATCAACTTGTAATGATGCAGATTAAAGTGGTTGTTTCAACTTTAAATAAAATATATTTTACTGATTTGTTTAGGTTGCAATTGAGATCCCAAATGTGAAGCGGGTTAAAGCCAGAAGAGACTCCCAGTATCCCACCAAGAGGGATCACATGATCTGTAAATGCCTCTCGCTAAGCATCACCTATGCGGCAACAATCGGAGGGCTCATCACCATCACCGGCACATCCACCAACCTCATCTTTGCCGAGCAGTTTAACACGTAGGTACACACGCACGATTGTTCGGCAAACGGCATTCCTCCGGTTTAATTTTGTTTTGAACAAATAAAGAGCTTACGGGCGATCGGAAATTTGAATTGATCCTCAAATCTGAATGTTTACAAGAAAAAAAAAAGGGGAGCTTTAATTCTCTAAGACACCTAACTCTGCCAGAAGTCTATAAATATTAACAAAACACTTGACTTTTTTCTTTTTTTCTTTCGTGAAGCAGAAAACAAGACACAAAATGAAGTTTGCAATGGCTTGTCAGACAAATTTAGTTACCAACACAGTCACATAAAGCTTCTCAGTCCATCTCAAGTCCTAAAACCCCCAACCAGTCTGTAATTTACATGTTTCCTGTGCCACATTTAATCAGTGGTAGCTGTTTTTCAGTTTTTATGTTATATACATAATTCAAAATGTGATCATTTGTTCGTCAGAATGCTAAAATGCAATTATGGAATTTGGAGGCACCTCAGGATAATGGGTTCCTGGTAGCAATCAGTTATTATTTCCTTATCTATTCTTCTCCATATAGTCTTCAAACTTTCTGAGTCATAAAGTCTGTTTGTTTACATCTCATGATTCTAATAATTTGATTGGAGTCAAACTCCTGAAAGGGCCATAATACTCAAATATTTTTATATCTCCGGATCTTTATGCAGGTTGACTTAAGTAAGAATCCAATACAGGCTGAAAAAAAAGTCATTTCATCATTGAAAAATAGAGTAAACTGGACTTCATAGATAAGAAACACAATACCAGCAACTCAGGGTATTTCAACATCTTTCGTAGTTTAAATTATTATTTTTTTATTCGTCGTGCCTCAAAATAAAAGCAGACACCTTCCAAAACTTGCCAACACACACGCCTGACTGATGTGTTGGCAGCCATGCTTGTTGGACTGGCGTTAAAATCAACTCAGCGGCCAGGGGCCACAGAGGGTCTGAGATCAAACTAATCAGGCTCTGCGTTGCTAACAGAGCCGATTTCCTCCAGCAGCTTTTCCGAGGCCCAAACTGAATGGTTTCCTTCATGTCAGGGCTTATTGGACAAAGGTCAGGCTTTGAGTCTCCCAGAGTTTATCTGGGTTTTGTCTGATGTGGCGGCTGTAATCCTAACGCGATAATATCCGGAGCGCCATTCGGTTCAGGCGAACAAATATGGAATAGCCTCCAAATTATGAGTTTAAGATTTTTATTTCAAATCAGGTGTGAAAGTGAGGCACGTGACTAATTAGACGCGCACGCAAACGGTAGGCTATAATCTGTTCGGCGGAACAACAAGCGAGAATTTAGCTGTTTTGTTTTGCTCTCTGGCCTTCCCCGTTCAGCTGTAAAACAACTGTCATGAAATAATCTCCACGTGAGGCCCGAACATGTGCGGCCATCCATGTGAATTTGCTGTCGTCCAGTTGAGCCCACAAAGAGAAGTCTACGAAAATATCAATTGAAACAGGCCGTCGTTACCACGGGCTAAAAACCAAAGTCACGAAATCTGGGGAAATGTTTGTAAATGTGCATAAGAAATTAAAGCGAGCATCAAAAAGAACCTGGAACACACACTTTTACGGTGTTGTTTTGCTTCCAGTTGTTCCCAGGAATCCGCCATATTGGGAACTGATCATCCAGGCTAGCTGACATTAGCATTAGCATTAGCATTTAGCAAAATGCACCAAACACTGTTGAGTTCCAGTGCAGATACCTCGGTGCAAAAAAAAAAAAAAAGCATCCACTGCATCTTCTGCTCCTGGAATATGTACCAAAATGTATTCAAATCTAACAATTACACAGTTAAATGCCATTACAGAGACTTTTCAGATTGGTGGGTGTAACCAGTGGAGGTTTTTAATATCGGGATTAACAATTAAATAAAATTCAAAGCCATGACAGTTTAAAAAGGCAGTTGGTGATGTGGACTAAGTGGTTATTGGTCCATCAGATAAAGTTCCAATGATGACCAGGGTCATCCATTAGAGAGCATGTATACACTGTTTAAACTTAAAAATACTTCATGTATTTTGTATATATATGTATTTATTGTATACTTAATGTATATTTCTGTGTGACCAACAGTGAAATCTTTGGAAAAATATAGATCTTTTCTTATTATTTCTTTCTTTCCAACTCATTTAATTCCCTTTTAAGTCATTTCTGGCCAATCCGTTGCAGTCGATATTTCTTTTTGTCTCTCTTACCATGGCCTTTTTCTTTTTTTCAGGCGATATCCGGATGCAAAGGTGATCAACTTTGGTACGTGGTTCATCTTCAGCTTCCCCATCGCCATCATCATGCTGGTCCTCACTTGGCTGTGGCTGCACTTCCTTTTCCTGGGCTGCAAGTGAGTGCAGCCATCGTTTTCTCTAACCTTCTGTTGGGTCATGTGGGGTCATCCAGGTGTTGGGGGTCACTGTGGTGGGCACTCAGCTTGCCCGCGTCCACATCTAATCACGTTAGCTAACGCTGTATCTCTGTTCGCTCTCCGTCCAGCTTCAGGGAGACGTGTTCGCTGAGTAAAAAACGCAAAACCAGGAGAGAGATGATGTCCGAGAGGAGGATCCACGAGGAATACGCCAAACTGGGACCCATCAGGTGTGTGTTCGCGGGCAGGAATTGAATTGTGTGTACAATATTGTGTGTTTTACGCTCTCCGGGGGGACTTATGGCACTCACCTACTCACTCAATCAATTTGAATTGGAGATTTGAGGTCTAATAAAGGTAAACCTGTTGGCTAGTGACTTTGTGTGCGCAAAATTTTTGACGTCGTTCATGTCATTGTTGTCGGCCTTCTTATGTGGTCGATGTGTGTGTGTGTGTGTCCCAGCTACCCAGAGGTGGTGACAGGGGTTTTCTTCATCCTGATGACTCTGCTGTGGTTCACCAGAGAGCCGGGTTTCGTGCCCGGATGGACGTCTTTATTTGAAAAGTGAGCATAAATTATATCAATTATATCAAAGATCCTTCATTATCAACAGTTACAAACTGTCAGATCTACTTACATTAGGCTAAAGGATGTTCAGATCATCTGTATTTTAGGAGGGTTTGTTCAATTTGGGCCTGTTTTTTATCTCTATCCCAGGAAGGGCTACAGGACAGATGCAACAGTGTCTGTCCTTCTAGGCTTCCTCCTCTTCCTCATCCCCGCGAGGCGACCGTTCTCCTCCGTTTCTCCCTCCAGTAGGAATTCAGGTTAGTTACTTCAATTCACTTTCCAGCTCGGGATCAGAGATGTCTTGCAGGGTATTAGAAAAATTGAATCTAACAAACTGAGCAAAAACTTAGGTTTATAACTAGGATAACTAGCAGTAACTGGACTTTTCTTTTACCAGCGTTATGTTATTAATTATTATCTTGGTAATAATGATTAATTACAACCAATGCTAAAATTGTACTACACATATTAGTACAATATTGTTCATTTCAGAATCAGATAAAAAATACTTTAATAATCCCAGAGGGAATTTATAAATATATATATATACTGTATATGTACAAAATTACACACAGAATATAGATAAAGATATACATAAATAACTATATGTATATATATAGATCTAAAATAAGTGGTGATAATGTCAATAATTTAGTTTGACTCTACTTTATTCATTTGAATAAAGTAAAGTGATAATATTGTGGTCATTACTTTTAGCCACGCTCTAAATGAACGCCTCAAACTGTTAAAGGTTTGTGAGGATTTCCTGAAACAGACATTCGCATCACGCTACAATATTTAGCCTGCAAAATGTTCCATTTCCCTTAAGTACTCGCTTTCTTTACTTTCCTCTGCCGCTCGATTGATCCCTTCTTTGCTCTGGACGCAGACACCTTTGCTTTACCAGAAAAAAAGAACTTCTCACGTGGGTGTTTTTTTCCACGCCGTTGCGATGTTAAAAAACAAAAACACTGGGAACATTCTTTGAATTTTCACAGTTTTTGGGGCGTTCAACACTGGACGTTTGAGTACTGACCCATATTTTACTGACCTCAAAACACTGAAACACAAATGTACTTTTGGGGTGAAACAAGCACAGACTATTGCTCACATTATGATATTTTTTAATTGCAAATATGAAGCAGTATAAAAGTGGACATTGAGTTATTTTCAATAAACATATTTATTAAAGATAAAGGCTTCAATACATATGAATATATATATATATATACATATGTATTATGTATTCATATGTATTAAATATACATATATGTGTGTTTGTGTGTGTCTGTGTATAAAGTCATATTAATCTTTTGGTTTCATCTCATGGGCTTCATTTTATGTTCTGATTTTTTAAACTTTTAGATGATGATTTGAATTCTGATCCACTCGCTCCAATGATCACTTGGAAGGACTTCCAGAGACTAATGCCATGGGAGATTGTCATCCTGGTGGGAGGTGGCTATGCCTTGGCCGCTGGCTGTAAGGTAACGGAATAAAAAATAAAACTCCATTCAACTCGCGTCTATTCATAGTCATGACATTTTATAGTCAGAACTAGCTAACTAGACCTCATTTTGACAGTTTTAGCAGACTATACTATAAAGATCGTGATATCTGTGATATTGCCCCTTAAGGAAAATGTAAAAACAAACCAAAAAAAGCAGCAAAAAGGTGATGATAAGATATAGAGCCAGGTAGAAATGGCTTTATGTGGCTTGTGTGTTGTGCGGTGGCAGGTGTCCGGCCTGTCCGTGTGGATCGGGAGACAGCTGGAGCCCATGAGTGGCCTGCCCCCCTGGGCGGTCACTCTACTGGCCTGCCTGCTGGTGTCGGCCGTCACCGAGTTCGCCTCCAACCCGGCGACCCTCACCGTCTTCCTGCCCATCCTGTCAGCACTGGTAACGGAACGCCTTCTTTATCTGGGACCGATTTCCAAACCTAATCGTCTTTATCCACTTTTACAAATGTCAGACACAAGATACGCTTAGCTGGGGAAGATAAGAATGGTGGAATTGATTCTTAAGAAACTTCGATTGGCTTGTTACTGTTACATAACTTCTCCTGCAACAGTGTGAACAGTGTAAAAACCTTCCTTCCAGTTTAAGGAACCCAGATTTAAAGAATAATCACCAATTCAATGGGTTTGTGATGGTGATGTTCATTATCAGTCTTCTTCTCCTTTAACAGTGAATATATTTTTTCTTTTCAGAGCAGCAATCTGAAGCTTAACAAAGATATAAAAAGTGTTTTGGGTTTGGGTCCCCCTTGTGTAAAACTGGTTTTACAACACTTTATTAAAAAGTTTGCTCTCAAAATTAAATCTCCTTAAAAGTGGCCTCATCTAAAGTTGTTTTTCTTCCTGTATTTAATTTAGTCTTGATGTCTTCTCATTCTGGTTCTTCTCTGTCCTCCTTGTTTCTATTTATTCTCCCTCTTTGCTACCTCTTTTTTTCCTTCCGTCTTTCATCTCACTATCCAGTCGGAGACTCTGCTCATCAACCCCCTCCACACTCTGATCCCGTCCACCATGTGCGTGTCATTCGGGGTCATGCTCCCGGTCGGGAACCCCCCCAACGCCATCGTCTTCAGTTACGGCCACGTGCAGATCAGCGACATGGTACGAGACACGATCCCTTATTTTTCCTGCTAATTCCTGTCTGGTTTTGCTCCAATCAAAAGAGCAAAAGACTGGTTTTGCTTTTTAAAAATATCTAGAACCCAAAATCAGTCCATTCGTCTTAGTTTGGGCATTGAGACCTTCGTTTTAATCTTCTTTTCCTGTTCAGGTGAAGGCGGGTTTCGGGGTGAACCTGATCGGCGTGGCAGTGGTCATGTTGGCCATCACCACCTGGGGGGTTCCGCTCTTCAGTCTGACCGAGTTCCCGGCCTGGGCAGTGGCCAGGAACGTCACCGGGGGCTTATAACCAACCGTCTCTGCGAAGAGGAGAATACGCGAACGACACATGGCACGTCAGGAGGACGGCGTTCGGAATCTGACTGGCTTTAAAACGACGATCGGTGCAGAGGAGGTGTCGGAAATGGAAGAGAACTGTGTCTTTAGTTGAAATGGTTATAAATGCAGTGACCGTGTGGTGACGTTGAGTAAAAGGAATGTCTCTTTCATCAAAGTGGCAACCGAGGGGAAACCTGAACTTCTTCAAAAGTGTCTTTTTTTTTTTTCCTTACCTCTGTTAGACAGAGACATTCTGTGTTTTTCTGTTAATCGTAAAAAAACCACAACCTCATTTGTGGCAAACAAAAAACTGATATTTTCGTTTTCCAAAACCATGTTGTGCATCACTTGGAGCACAAGTTGATTTTTAAATAGATTTATGAGAGATGGTTATGTAACTTTTTTTTTAAACTTGAGTCGAGTTAAAAAAAAGAAAAGAAAAACAAATAACTGTGTTGCCTTAAAACCACCTGAACACATAAAAGGAGGTATCTGCTGCTATGAATTAGAATTGTAATGAATTATAAGTGTACATTGATAGAGATATTTAAAATCAGGCCTACTATTAAGCAGCCTTTTTAACCAAAGTTTATGAAGCTGATTAGGTACCCAGCTGAGCAGTGATTAGTTGCATTTAGTTGCTATATTTACAGCACATAAACCCCTTTCACCTATTTTTTCCTTGAATAATGAAAGTCTGTGATTTAAAAAAAATCTTCAGTGACATTGGTTAGCTTAACGTTTCTAATTTACACAACTACACTGCAGAGAATATGATTTATTTACAGTAAAGAATTGGTTACTGTATTATTTTTTAACTTGTTTGTTACACTAAACAGATTTTGGACATGAGTTTTTCTTGTTGCTTTTCCATATTTGGTAGCTTTGGAGGTGTGTAGACTAACCTCTGTCATGGTAATGATCAGTTCTGTTCCGCTCAATTCCTTTTATTTTATTTTTTTACTTCAGCCTTTTTGTTTTTTTTGGCTGCATTTAAAAATGAAAAATTCTACTTTAATGGTTAAGGTCAGGTGTCAATGCAGTAAGATTTTAATGTTTAAAAATGCAAAAAAAAAGAAAAAGAATTGTATGATGTATCCATGTTCAACTACAAGATCTTTAGTCCTCAGATATTTTCACCTTGGAGGAGCAATTCTTACACGCACAAGGAGGTTGAACATTGCTGAGGTATTTAAAAAAAGTCCTCATGGGAGAAAGTGAGGCAGCGAGCACAGGGTTGTTTGGTGCAATAGTTTAAATCAATTTGTCCAATCACAGTAATTTTAGCACACTGGTGAAATGAGTTTGCTCAAACCTCTTGTATTGTGCAGTAAAGTAAAAGATATACTTTATATTTTTTACAGAAATTCTACATATAATTTGCTACTTATTTTTATACCACAACTATATAAGGATAGGCGTTAGCATGGGCTGAATCAGGCCTACCGTTTTCTTTTGTAATTTATTCACTTCTAGTTAAGTTTTTCATACAGCTCCTTGTGGCCTTTCATCCAGGGGCCACACTCTACTGTAAATACATGCAGATTTGTAATATGAACATTACGTGTCTTTGCCCGTTTCAAATGAGCTGTAACATTCTGAAATTGTGTTTAGTCTTCATAAAGCATTCGTATCCAACTACGAAACAAAAAAAAATTGAATAAATTATACATGTACAAACAATAAAAACCTTCTAAACCAGTCACCGGATTTAAATTTATTTGCAAACAACGCACATTTCATACTATAAATCACAAGGCGCTGTTCATGTACGACATCGAGGAGTTCATAATAATGATGATGCCTTTAATAACCACAAATATTGTGCACAGAACCAGAGAGCCTCATACCAGGTGAAACTTTAAAGAAAAATATATCCCTTAATAAATATCCGTAGTGGCAACTGAGGGCTGCTCCTCTCTAAGTCCTGTACCTCTGCAAAAAAGGTGTCAATAAGGTTTAAAATCAGTCTTTTTTGTCCATGTTGTGTGGTGGTTAAGAGTTCTCCCGGGGGCCTTCAGCAGGTGAGAATCCTTCCGTCTGGATTTTCTCCTTATATTTAAGGAAGTCTCTCCTCTTATTGAAATATTTCACCTGCAAAGGAAGATCAAGAAGGACATCAATAGACAGTACTAGCTAGCAGTAGTTTCCATCTAACTGTGCAAACTAAAAAGGAAAAAGGTTTTTTCTACTTTACCCATTGGGCAGGGCATTTTGCCTCAAACTCCCCCTGGAAGTTCTGGCAGGATTCTAACTTGTCGTTGTTGACGTCTAAACATTTCCAGAGAAGGTCTCTGGCATCCCAGCAGGCCTTCCTTTCTGATGAATTTGGAGCAGGCATCACTGTCAAGGGGAGGGAATAAATGATGGAATAGAAAATTGAATTGACGTTCAACAAAGTGCATTGGCTTCAGTTTTAAGATGGACTGATTCTGAACAATGTGGTCAAGACGAATAAAAATAATATCACTAAACAGTTTAAATAATATTGCATGGACAAACACATACCAGTATCCTGGGGGCCTTTGGTCCAGCTATAAGTTACGAGTTCGGGCTTAACTTGGCAACTCTCACTCCTGCGGAGGCTAGCTAACAGTAGCTGTCAATAAGTGGTTGTTTGAATAAAACTTCACTTCCACTGAATAAATGGACCCTTAAAACCTGCCGTATTTGTCGTACTGATGATAACTACCTTTAGTTAACCGCTGTCACTTCATAAAACACGAAAACGCGAGTCAATTCCTTGCAAATATGAGAAAGAAAACACTTTTGTAACGTCTCGCTGGACGAGGTGAAGGACGCGCACATCAACATCACTTCCTCGTCGCATAATGATGACGCAAGGACGTGATTCTCAAATCGCACCAGGTGGGGGCGCTGTCGGGAAAAAAGAGAAAAAAGCACCATTGAATTGCATAATCGCTTATTCCCAAAAGGGTTCGCGGGTACATTTTAAATTATTATTATTTTTTTTTTAACCCCAAGGGAAATTAAAAAAATATGTTTTTGAAGGTAGAAATTGTTGTGATTTGAGCTGAAAGAGCTTCAACTTTAGAAAAAAAGTCTTATTAATCTAATTTGAATACTAAATCACACACTCCATTGTCGTTTACAAAAAGTTTAAATAAAAACTTTGGTATTTTGTTGAATGTGTTCTCCACCAGGAACAGACAAGGCTTCCTTACAGTTTTACTGGAATGTTTTTCTACTTTAGAAAATCTATATGCGCTGTCCCTTCTTATTACCTTTTAATTTACTTGTTGCAACCAGTTTATGAGCATGTAAATGTCAAATATTTACTGGACTTAAGGGATGGTGATCACATTACAGTTATTAATGTAGACAGGTCCCATAATTACCCATCACTGCATCCTGCCATCCATGAAGGATTTATTAAATAGTGTTTATAACAGATGTGAGTAAATTGTTTTGGCTTCTGGCTGTAATTTTTTGTTGTCGTACAACACACTTTTATAAGTATTTTTGCCTCTGTTTGAGTTGAAAACTATCAATTTATTTATCCTTTGATATTAATGTGCGTATGCATAATGCCTTTTCATCCCTTTAAGCCTCAAACTCTACACAAAAGCCACTATGTGAATGAACAATGACATTTCCCTATGTGTGTGTGTGTGTGTGTGTGTGTACGCACATGCCACGGCAGTGTGCACAATCAGGGTGAAAATGTGGCTGCAGATTAATTCCATCTTCTGCTCTCTTCCCTCAGCCACTCTCGTTGAGAATAGACCCTACTGGTTACCATGGTGCCAGGCTAGCAATCCATTTCTGCTCATGTGCTTGTACGGACTCAAGGGACTAAAACAAAACAGACAAAGTAAAAAAGAAAAAAGAAAAAAAAGGAAAACAGGAGACACTGACTGAGGGACAAAGTGCTCAACCTCTTATCAAAGTAAGTGTTTGTTGCCCTGTTTGTGTAAGTGCATGTGTGTGTTTCACAAAGAAAGAGAGAGAGAGGGGGGGGTTGTTGAGAGGGTTTTTCTATTTGCTTCAGAGAGAGAGACATGATTTAATGACCTGCCCACTTGAAGTTTGTTTCCTCCACAGATAGTGAGTGTTTGCATTGTGGCCGATTCCGGTACTGAAATAAAAAGGATACAAACGACAAAATCTTTAGTATTTTTTCAGGTCATCTCCACAACTAAACAGCTTCAATTGATCCCATAGTTGTGCTACTCCAAGTCTAAACTAAGCTCTAAACTCTCACAGTGTAATTTAGTGTATCGGGTAACAAGATAAGAGTAACTGATCTATTCAAGTCTGTAAACTGAGGTGGGGTCTCTATGAATGTTTTTATCACATCCCACTGAAGCTTAAATTTACGTAGAACAAGGAAAAATTAATAATAGTCTTGGTTGTATTTGACCAAGTGGGATAATTCCTCCAAAATTAGTGGACAATTTCACCGTTTGAATAATAGAGGATTTGATATTGTGTGGGAGATAAAGCTTTCTTAGAGAGCACCGACTCTCAAACGAAATGTTCTATTCCCCCTTGAATCTTTATCTAAATCTGTAATGAATGCACAGCAATTCAAAGCTCCAAAGCTTCCAATCTCAACGCTTTCACCAACAGCCATCTCAACTGGATTTGGACTATTTTGTTGAAGAGGAGCAGAAATTTGAAGAAGGGCTTGCACGATTACAACAGCGCGGCGAATTATCCACTCAGACGCTTTCAGACTGTCCTCGTTAAATGAAAAAAAATGGTGTTATTCTAATATCTACACGAGAATCTTCTTGTACGAGCACCACTTCAGTGGCACGGAGTCGTCCCTCTTCTTGGTCAGCTAATATATCCAGACAGAGAGCAGCACGCCTGCCAAACGACTGCCGATTTTTAATGAGACTTTTGTGGCAAAAAGGAATTAAAAAAAAGAAAAACATGTCATGGCGACCAAAAAAGACGACTTGGCCAAGCATAAAAAATCTCAGTTGTTTTTTTTAATATAACAAAAATCATGTCAGTTGCGATTATCCTCGTAACTAAAGTCTATTTTAGTCTTTTTGAGTTCTTTTAGGAAGGACAGACATAACCTCAAGTATAACCAGTGGCATATATAACACTGAGTGGTTAAGAAACCAGACTTTTTGTCCAGATATGCAAAAACATTGGAATAAAAAGAGTCATTTTTCCACATGATATTACATACTGCAAGCATCTGCCAGTTAAATTATTGATTCAAACGCCATATATATGTCCTGGTATAGGATCCTATATTCCGTTGCAGACATTGACAGCCAGTGGCACCTCCCCGGCACACACATCGACCTGTGTACATCGGCTCCTCGGTGTCCGGGATACTGACCTCCAAAGGCCTCCAGTGGGAGTCAATATCACAGTTAACCCGGAAACTGCGTCCACTGTGAGGACAGCAGGGGGTTCGGACCTGCGAAACGCACAAACTCAAACATTTCCACGAGATTGATACCATAAAGAGGCAACTTTGGCTAAATGCAAAACAGCCATGACCCCCTGATTTTGTAATTGTAACTGAAATGTTTTGACATCTAATCCCCAGACCTGGGTTCTTTTCAGGGCCAATGATGGCGCGGTGAGGGAAATCAGTTCAGTTATTGACCACGTTCCGGCTGTCGTAGAAACACGGGGGCCAGAGAGAGGACAGAGACGGCGAACACCTAATCCATAATCCATTCCTGCCTGTTCGCAAATGAAAAGCTTTTTTTCACGGCAACGGGATGTGAGAAAGCTCAGGGATATTTAAAGAACCTGTTTGGTTAGTTGTTGACCATACTTGTTGTGTATCTTCTTATGGGCTCATGGGTGGACTCACTAACCTGAGAATCCAGCCAGCCCTGTCCCAGAATAGAATAAAAAGAGAATTGAAAACGAATGGTTTGATGGTTTAAAATTGGATGAACGTACCTTTACAGCAAATCAGACTGTATTTCACGTCTTTCATCTTTGATCTGCAATGAGAAAAAAAATTTGTGCGATATGCAAGGTTAAAATACGAATTTATCATCCCAGAATGTTGACATTTGAATAAATAACTCACCTCTTTCACCAGATGGAAAAGAGGCAGTGCTTTTAACATGTGGCGTAAAAAAAAGGTTCTGTGGTTTTGTACTGGTAGCAGATAAAATGGAAAAATGTATTTCTTTAAAATAATCTATCAGCTGGGACAAGAAAATGACATAATACGAGTTTCCAATTCAGTACGTGAAGCTAAAACAAAAGCCGCCAGCATTTTTTGGTATAAAATGCAAAAAGAGCTCCCTTTAAACAGAAGAGCTGGGACTGTTCGCAATAAAAAGGCCTCCGTGTCTTTTTGCTTTTGTCACAGCGGACAGTAGCTGGGGCAGTTTTTATTTTCCCCAGGGGGGTCTCTTTTGTTTTTGGCCTCCGCATTCCGTCTTATATCCCGGAAGCGGGGAGGCAGAGGGGATATTGTAACAAGCACCCGAGAAAAATGTTGGTCCAACAAGGGAGACAAGGCTGCCGCTTAAATTAAAGGGGATTATGTCTCTTAATTTATGCTAATAAATGCGCATCAAGTAACAAGAGTGTGTGTGTGTATGTGTGTGAGAGACTGGAGCTTTCTTCACTCTTGCACACACAAATGTCTAAAAAGCTCCCACAACCTGGGGGCCTGTTGGAGCCTGTTGCTCGTGGAAGAACGCTCGCTTTTTTCTCACGCATGCCCATTCACACACCCAGTCCCTCATGGGAAAACCTGTTGTCCGTCACAAAAA